AAGACCACGCAAAGGCAGTGCCAGACCATGCGCGTGCACTCAATGCAGAAGTATAAATCAGCCCTTAATGGATCAGTGGTTTTCTCACATCACCTCAGACTTCAGTTTCTCATAAAATCATGACCAATTAAATGTGCTCTAGTATCTTACATGCCCCGCCCTCTTCAAGACATTCATTTGATGTGCTTGAGCTCAGCCACTCACTGGTAGAGCAATGATAAATCAAAATGCAATTGGCTGGGGTTTTTTTAAGCGGGAGGAGCTACACTGTCCCACCCTCTCTTCATCTGTCAGTTGAGATTACGTCAAACATCGAATTATAAAGCACATTTCAAAGCACTTTACAAGACCTCTAAATTGTGATTTTACGATTAAACAAAGCAACCTAATAACAATCAAATCCCTCTACGTCTTCGTAGCCATCTAGCAGCACCTAGATCTTTGATCTTTAGGAAATCACTTACGCCAGCAGTTGTAGATTGCTTACAGAGTTACTAGCATTTCATTTTAACTTGTGTCATGAAAGCCCCACATTTCATGCTTTTGCTGAAAGAGCATTTCATGCACATTGCAGCAGACATTGCAGCTGCCTTGGGCACTGTAAGCCACTTACGATGCAGAATAAAAATGAAGGAAAAAAAAACAGTTCTGCAGTAACTCCACATCTTGTCAGCTTCAACAAAATAAAAGTATCAAACCAATTTTCCAATGACTCACCAATCGCAGGTTTAGTTTCCTCAACCCTTTCGTACTCTTCCTTGACAGAGTTCACCCCCTCCTCCACCCTGAAACAGATTAAAACCATATCTTTTTAAATATTTACAAGATAATTTATAATTAACTACAAAGAACCAAGCAAACTCTTTGTACAACATTATTTCATACAACACATTTAACAGATAATTAAAGCGGTCTTACACTGATAAATCAATGTCCTCTGGCTTATTCTTTGGAGGCCTTCCTCTTCTTTTCTTCTCAGAAGCTTTATCGTTACTATCAAATAATGATTTGCAGCTATTAACATACATTTTGGGCTTTCAAAGAAATATTAAAGTTATTATTTCTAGAAATTGTATCTCCATACCTGTATTGGGGAGACACCACTTCGACTGGCTCCTCTTTGTATAGCCTTGTACCGTAAAAGTACCAGTAGAGGGCTCCATTCCCGTCCTGGCCCAGAGGCTCAACACGCAAACTGTCTGAATCCAGGCCCTACAAAATCCAGTATTTCTTTTTAACTGGAACCAATTTGGATAACTTCTGATAGGGTATTGATCTACTGCAATTTTCTTTTTTATTTAAGGCAAAAATTGTGACTATGACAGATGTAAACAAGATTGCTACCTTGAGCCTGTCGAAGACATCAGCAGCATCAAGGCGATAGTCACAGAGTCTGTGCAAAAGCTCCACCTGTGTGCGGGTTGGTAGCTCCTCAAATGGATGCTCCTTCAGTGGATTGGGCTTTCCTTCTTCTAGTTCCCATCGGTAATTGATAATATCTTCCAGGTAACCGCTAAATGACTGGATCCTGAAAAGAACAGAGGCATGTAATAACAATGCATTTTATATCTAAAATTAGCTCTAACTAAAGTTGGTTTCTGTGATCTAGACAAAAAAAAAAAGATTAATTTAGTTCTAGACTGAACTTAAAGATCAAACAATGGGAAACGTTATTTCAATGAGCAGAAAAACCCAAGTACGCTGGAGCATTGTCTTTTTACAGACACAAGATGCCTTTAATTGTTGTGTTCATATTTAAGACAAACCGCATCAAAAGTGGACAGAGACCCATCTTTTTATTAAGGACCAAAGTCAACTTCAACCAGAGTTTGTTTTAATCTAACCAAACCTGCCAAGTGTGAACACACACATAATCAACACATCATGACCATTTTATTTTATGACCATCAGGGCTTTTCACCTTGAATTTAAGCTATAATGATGCGCTAATAAATTATTCATGATTTAACTTGTATAACCATGTCTTGATGTGATGATACATGCTAAAAAAATATTAGTTCCGGATGGGTGGGGTCAATTTGATTAACCAAAAACCCTGTTTCTGCCGGTAATGTGCAGGGCAAGGGTGAGCCTTAGGAAAACAACAGAGAAGGTAGAGTGCAAAAAAGGAGAGAAAGAATAGGCTTATCTTGAGAAAGCAGAATGATCTCTCTCACAGCTGCAGGCCCCCTGCCATTCCATCTTTCTCTGCCTCTCTCTCTCATCCGTAACACTCCCTCCCCCATTCTGCTGGGGCGTTTAGCACATGTAGAATGAAAAGGGCACTTCTGTGAAAGGCCAGTGCCCCGCGGCCTCCCCCTGGATGCCAGTTGCTGTCGAATCCAATAAAACCCAGCGTCCTGTTAACGGCCTGCCTGAGTATGCGAAAGGGATCATTCTTGCCTACCCAGTCATCGACCGGACTCCTTTTTGCTGCTGATGAGGCACCGCTATGGAAGGGAGCTCCCTTTAGGGGCCAGTCATTCATCACAGCTCTGACTCACAATAACTCACACTCTTTATTGGGATGGGGCCCATGGCCCCTTGACCTACTACTGCAGGTAACAGCACTACTATGGGCAACTGGTCATATGCAGATGGAGGTGGGTTGAGAGTCAAACACAGTCAGGATGCGAGTTAGACAATACAATGTGCAAGGCCCTTCAAGAGTTTCTAAAACGCCAAAACAATACAGTAAACTCATATTTCAAGTTCAGTACAAGTTAGGTTAATCAGCAGTGCTTCACTGTAAACTTAATACTATAGAATACACAAGACAAGTCACTCATATAGTTTTAAATGGTCAAAAGCGTAACGGTCAGTATAGTGAATGAAGCCTTTCCTACTATAACAGGAGCCAATCATTGATCGCTATTGACTTTTCTTCAGGGTGAAGCTCAGACCAGACGTGTGCTTTTACAGACATAAGAAATAGATCCAAACAAAGCTTGAAATCTGTACTTTTAAATGAATTTAAATGAAAAGTTTTTTGGCTTTATAATCTGTATGAAACGAACATGAGTTACAGTCAGTCCTGTCAAATGCACATCACAGCAACAACTCAAATGCCCACAAACTTGTAAACAGAGTTGCTGTCATTTCTGGAGGTGATTTGCCATCAAGACCAAGTTGTGGATTACTTCAGAAGACCAGCGCGATCAGATGAAGCATTATCCAGAGGATGATTATGTGTAGAACGGCCACAAATGAGATTGGTGTCGTGATCTTTTTCCTTTCGAGTGAGCATGCTGATTTTGTTTGATTAGAACATTTTGAAATGAAACTCATGAGACAGTTGTTGTTTAACTTTATTAGTGATTCCAAATATGTAATGTAAATGCAAGCTTGGCAAACAGTTTTGGAGAATTTGATGTTTTCCCAGTCAGACTTAAAGAGCCCATATTATGGGTTTTTGAAAATTCCCCTCCATGTAGTTTGTAGCACAGCTCTAAGTGAAGTGAAGTATTCAGCTAAGGCTTAAATCTGTTAGTGTACAGTGTTTAAAAACTGTTGATTCATCTATAAAAGAGTCGACTCATAGTGCTTCAAACGAGTCGCCTTGATACCGATTCATTAGGTGTTTCGCCATGACGTACGAACGAAACCAAGTTATTCACGTGCACGCGCAAACCCGGGAGATTTCAAACCTGAGGACCCGCCCTCTGACACAGAAACCCCGACACACACACACACCCACAAACACACACACACATACAAACATGCCGGTCGATTGAAGTCACACTGCAGATGGATATATTGAGTCTCTACCCAAAGATGAAACCTCAGCATTATAGCCAAGCAGTTGGAAACTACTGGAAACTTCTGGAAACTACATGCTACAAAGAATACTTCATCAGCGTTTGTTAAAGGAAGGATCAGTAAAGAGTAACTTACTGATGGATGTCAGGATGGATTTTTCTTCCTCCATTTCTCAAGTGCAAGTACGTGCGATTAAAGTTGCCTCGTTGACTCTAGCTTGCAAATGTATTTAGTTGTGATTTGTTACTTGTAACCGCGTGTACTGTATCAGGTTAACTGGCTATATTCTCTTATCGCGTGCAAAGTCACGTTAAAAACGCGACGCGTGCTGCTTTGTTAACGGAGCTCCGTGGACGAGGAGTAGTGTGTGTGTGCGCGCGCTGTCGTCCGGAGGTGTGTGTGTTTGTGTGTGTGTGTGTGTGTGTGTTTGCGCGCGTGCGTTGTCGTCCGGAGCAGGGTTAAGTGCGTGTGTGTGTGTGTGTGCAATATGTGTGTGTGTGTGTCTGTGAAAAGAGCAGAGTGAGAAGCTAGGAGATCTCCTCAACTGTTTTTGGAGTTTTTGCTCAATAAAATAGTTAGTCGTCTGTATTTTCAAGTCCATAGTCTGTATTTACATTGACCCACTGGCAGCTAAAATCCACGCCTACACTATCGAGCGTGTATGAACTGTGATTACTTTTATATTGCTGATTAGCTGTTTGGCATTTCACTCTCTGACTGAAGGCAGTCGACCAATCGCAACAGACTGTCATCGGTCCAATCAGCGCAGATTAGCTTTGGCTAAGGAGGGGTTTGGGAACAAATGAATCACTGGACGATTCATACAGGAGTCGCTGGGATAATTAGGTAAAAATAAATGCAGATTATAAGACCACGAAAGTGTTTTTTGACCTTGCATGCATATTAAACTGTTGTTGGAGACCCTTACAACCAAGATATGACCTTATTTCATGTATAAAATGGGCTCTTTAATGCCCGAGCATACGGTCTTAGAGGCTTTTCAAAGATGGCTGCCGATTAAAATGACTTGACAACATTAATAATTACAATTTCAAGGCTCCTGCACCATCTCTTTTGGATATAAATGTCTCATTTACAACTTTAAAGCACAATGGAAGTGGGAAATACTGATGATGGTACACTTACGTGATGTCGCTGCGCTGGTAACATCCTTTTAGCAGGGAGCAGAGAAGAACTGAGAGGAAATCTTGGTCTTGTTTCAGTAGTGCTTGCTCCAGTTCCTATCAAACAAACCAACAGGGAATGGAGGTTAACCATAACAGCAGAGTTGAGTTTACCTAGCAGTTGCTTTTACAAACTTTGACGTTTTTATACCACTCTTTCACTGATGAGAATAGATTGCAGCTAACAGGACATAACAAGGGGTGTTCACATTAATAAGAAATGTTATGTTCTTCATAGGACAGTTTGACATTATCTGTAAAACAATGCAACCTCATGTTACAAAATTCATTGAGGTACTAAAGCTAATGGTAAGGGTATGGAAAAGCAGAAAATGTTTGACTATCCTTTAAGGCTGTCATTAGGCATTACAACTGAAATGAGAGAAGGACAAATCGTTGTTATAAGGAACTGCCTGTAGAGTGATGGCACTCAACCATAACCAGTTCAGGAACTAACCTGACAACCTTCCTTTGTTTTCATGAGCCATGTTTTAACATCACCCTCTGTGCTGAATGCTGGGTGAATGTGTCACCATAAATTTGATCTTCTAACATATAGGATTACAATTCTACAAAGCACCTTCTCACACCTTTTGACTTGGGTAACCGTTCCCAATGCTGTATAAATCCTGTTGCTTATAATCTTATCCGTTTGCTATCTTAGCTGTGTTGATGTTAAAATGGTGTACTCACTAGACTAAAAACAACAAAACAATTAAAGTGATTTTAACAGTCACAATGATTAAGAATGGTTATGAGAAACGTCTTCAATCCTAATGTGAACCAACATTTAAGGCTCATTCCCTTTTAGGGTTGATCTATGATATATTACCATCATGAGCTTGGGCAAGACACTCCCTATCAGTATCATCCAAAGGTATTTTGCTTATAATATGTGTACAGCAAGTTTCTTTGGATAAAAATCTCAGCTTAATGACAATTCCAAGCATATTAGAAGTTTGAAACTATAAGGCAAAAAAACAGAAGGAAAAGCAATAAGTCAATGTCAAAATTAATTAACAACTACTACTTCAAGTACTACAAGAGTGTAGTGTAAAAAACACCTGACTTTCCTGCACGATGTAGGATATATAGTAAAATCTGTAAATGAGTGAAGACATGCTTGATAAAGCTTCTAGCAACAAGATGGAACTGAGGTTTAACCTTGACCCCTGTCTTCTTCTATTGTGTTTCAGCTATTGAGGGTTTATGAAGCGGCAGTAAGTGGGACTGCAGACTCCAGCCCACTGAAAGGAACAGAGGAGAAGCTAAGCGACAGCATGAGTCCACATCCACAGCTAGGCCTGGTCTGACCCAGCATGCACTTCTCTCCTCAGGATGCCCAATGTCAATCTAAGAAAGAGGGAGGGAGAGATCGACAAAATGTAAATGGCCAGTGTTCCATCGTCGGTCCATCTCAAGGAGCTTAGCGACTGCAATCGCTTTCTTTCATGAGGACTCAGCGAGCCACTGAGTCCCTCAGGCAACAGGGAGCACTTTTCAGCTCCTGTATAAAACACAACCCCCCACCCCACCTTTACCAATTCAGAGCAGAGTGACACTACAAAATTAACTCAAGGGTGAGAGAGGCAACCCATCCATTCTTGGTGAGATTCACTCAAGCTGCAGATTGCCATTTCTCTCTAGAGAAATGGCGGAGAGAGGGGTCATGGAGGGTCAGTTCACACACCTCCTGGCTGTGGAGAGGCGCGGAAACCAGGAGCCCAGTGTCAGCAGAAGGAAAAACAGAATGAGTGCTTGAAAAACAGGATGAGACACGTTTCAGCTTAAGGTTAAAAAAGCGATGTCCTTAGTTTGTTCTCTTGGAAAAGATGGCAGTGGTATTGCTTAACATGCTGAATCTATTAAGCTTTTTTAGGCTGATTGCAGAAGCAATTTAAAAGCTATTGATTATACCCTCCAGGCATTCAAAGAGTCCAAAGTGTCCGTGAAACTTCTTATTGAAGGGCTGTTTGGGCAGGAAGTCCAGAGGTGAAATGGACCCACCGTAACAAAAAGGTTTATAGCCTGGACAAATTTGGTACCTCTTCATGCCTTTATCTATTTGCATCCATCTCTCTACAACTCACTCACAAGGCAAGTGTTTGAGGTTGTCAGGAACATCCAGGGTTGTCTTCGAGTGATGAGGCACCCTGGCCTTCTGCACGTCACTCAGATCCTCCGTTACGCCTACAAAACTTCCTGGTCTCTTGACAGTTAAAGGGCCAGAGTGGGCCCATCTATCAGTGCAGCCACAACTTTGATCACATTTCAAACCTGAGGCCGACTGAGGGGGATTAACACAACCCCACTTTGCTTTTGAAGTGCCATTCAGTGGCTCAGATGGCAGAGAAGGGGAATGAATGTTGTGTGTGTCCTTTCCTTCACAAAGTCTCCTTTAACAGCTCCCTGAAGCTCTATCCTCAATCTTTTTGCTTAACCAGCTAGCAAAACAGGTATGGTAGGTGCACTGCACAGATTATCAAGATGATTGTACTTGATGACTCATTAGGAGAAACATTTTCAGTCAAGCCCAAGGTTAAAGAAACTGCTTGCCACAGATAGGAATTCTGTCCTTTACTAATCATTTTTTATGTTTTCAACAATTTCAATTCATACAATGAAAGTCAGTGGGTCTAAAACGATATTGGACCAACTGAATTCCACTGTATGGCTAAAAAGTTGCACATAATACATTGCTGTGTGTGTTCTACAGGGGAAAAACACACAGGTTTAGAATAACATGTTCTAGGGTTGAATAAATGATGATGGTTAATTGAAAAAAATATTAGTAATAAATCCCTTTTTTCTTTTTAAAATAATATTCAAATAAACTGACATTGTAGGTCATGCTTTCACACCGGGTAGCACTTTATCACAGGTACTTTTAAATGGCTAGTTTAGTTCCCCAAAAATACTTATCCTAGCCTAATTATTTCAGGTTTTTGAGGTGCGAACCAGCCAAAAAGCGAGTACGTCTGCCAATAGTTAAACTTAAACTTTCACACATAGCTATGAGAGTCAGGTCCAAAGCAGTGGACCAATCAGAAGAGCCCGGAGCAACTGTTGCAAGCTTCTGTTCAAAGTAGAAAGTTGGCATGACAACTGATTTAGGTTGTACTTGCACCAGGCGTGGGTGCCTTGAACTGTGCCGAGGTGCGCTTGTCCCCCTTCCCCTCTCCCCCTCGGCTTGCACCCACACTGGAATTTTATCTTCCATGCCGGAGCATGGCTAAGTCATGGATGATGTGACTGCTACGTTAGGAAGAGAGGCGCTCTTGCTCCATACAATAGAGATTGCTTTAGTTATATTGTGTTATTTTAAGTCATTTGGGATGCGATGACACAGCAAAATATTTTGCTGAACAAATCCACCACTTTTGACTTCTGAACATTTTCATGAAAGTCATCATACTGCAAATATTGGGAGGTTTGCATCTTTAATAAACTAAAACAGTTTGCGTTCATTGAAAAGCAAAAATGTTTAATAAATTCATATGAAAAAGTACCTTAAAAGTTACGTCCCTCCTTCAGTTTTGCACTCAGGCGCAGTATGCTTGTAGTGTGAGTGCAAAGCGCACCTGAGTGCAAAACGAAAGCCACATTCACACTATGAGCAACTTGCAGCAGCAATGCAACAAGTGACCGTTCATTTGAACAGAGTAAACGACTTCTGGCGAACTCCATCTATGTGAGTAATAGCGACCGCTGGAGACCAGGTTAGCGTTTCGAGTGACGCAACAAAGTTGAGAATGCTTCAACTTTATGCAAATGAAGAGCAACTTTGAGCATCAGCACAGTAGAGCTCAAAGTCGCTGTTAGTGTAAATGAGGCTTGAAGGTGTGACGTGACTACTGAGCCTAACTGAACTGCACTGCACTCTGGCAAAACCTCTTCCAACCAGGCCCAGATCAGCCAACTGAACAGCGCCCGGGCACGATTGAGCACTCAAACTTGTCAAACGAACTGGGAAATGGGGGTCAAATGTGACAGATAGCCCAGTGTGAATGAATACACCCTTATTTAGTTATATCATGGCGGAGGAGGTGCTTGAAAGGCTTAACATAACAGGTTTTAATTTTTTTTAATGGGTCCATTATATATGTTCATAATAGTGCGATGTCCATATGACGTGATATGGTGTGCTTTTTTAAACCCATTTATTAGTGCTGCATCTCACATTTATAGAAGCAAAGACGCGTTCTGGGTTAATGAGGTGCAGTCCTGTTACGATATCCATTTTTAGTTGTACGATATATTGGACCCAAATGTATTGCAATAGACGACATTGTCATTTTATGCCACTTATTATATAATGCCAGATTGACAATATCATAAATCAAAGTACACTCTTCTAAAAAACACATAATATCTTATTCTTAAGAATATTTAATTATAGTAATTTTAACAATTGAATAATTAGGCATTAAAATTAGAATGTAAAAACTTCAGAATGTAAAAATCAAAAATCTGCTTCCAGATCTATTTTCAGTTGTCAGACACCCACATGAAAAACACTATTGTAATTTATAGTAAATACTAGTGTTTTTTTTTTTTTTTACATACTGACTCTGACACCTCCAATAGAGATAGAGATGTTGCACAATCAGCTAAAATTTTGCTAGAATTGGTTTTCCTGTATGGGCGATATGTATTGCATCATTAAAAATGATTGAGCTCATCTCCACGTATGCGATAAGTTGATATATTGATTATTGTGACAGGCCTACTTAGGTTGTATATTTAATCACTCTCAGAACTAACTAACTGAATGTTGCTGATAAACATTTGTGTATCTGCCATTACAGAGCATTAACAAAGTGGAACCGCCCCCCCCTTATCAGTCCCTGGTGCACAACAGAAACTCTACAGATGGCACATGGGCAAAAGGTCTAGCTGATTAACGGACCAACAGGAAGAAAGTAAACGTTTATCTGTATAACGTCCTGAACTGTATCTCTTGATGTCACACTTTCAACCAACATAACAGCACAGCAACGTTATGGATCTTCTAATCATGGAGTTTTTTAAGTAAAGTGTTCACAGTGCTACAGATT